GGCCGCAGTTACAGGGCTTTGGGAGCTGCTAGTGTTGACGTCTTGCTTCCCTGGGATCATGGCGACTCTGGAGCTGCAGGCTGCTGGCCTGCCCCCTCTCCTTCCACAGTGAGGGCTGTCTTGGGTGCTGGAGAGAATGACAGTGGAGTGAATGTGGCCACGCCCTGTGGAGATTTGCATTTAGGTGGGAGTTTCCGAAGGCTGGAAATTCTGTCAGCCTCCTTCCCAAGAAAAACTGCTATGAAACGACAGAGGAGCGTGTGTCTTCTCTGCTGATGCTACCAGGCCAGCTGCTGGCTTCAGTGACATACTGATGCTTTTGCCAAATGACAGGTGTTTGCCTTTGGGGAAGGCTTTTTACAGGGATCAGGAGTGGAGGGACAGTGATGCCATCTTCCAGCGGCAGGGAAGGAGGGGGATGACCTCCTTACCAGAAGAGCTGTACAGGTGGAAGGTCCACAGGGTGGGCCCGGGGCATTTTCTCCCTTATTCTTATTTTAAGGGACTACTGACACCACATCAGATCTGAGAACACCACCTCTGTCAGGGACATCTCCTTTCCTCTTGCATCAACTGATGTGTTTTTGTTTCCCAATTATTATTGTTATTTACACTGATGGGTCATGTCTTTCCATTGCAGATTTTCCGTATTCTACAGTAGCATCGCTTATGGAAGAATCTCTCAAAAAATTATTATAAGACATTGGCAGGGAATGTTAACAAAGGCTCTCAAGCTCGTTCTTATTTTCCCTGTGGAGGAAGGCACACAGGGGCAATGGACAGAAGCGCTTTGCTGTCTACGGCCCCTTCCCCTGCCTCATGGGAGAGCATCCTGGCATCCTGCACAGACTAGAAAGCGCTCCCAGGCCGTGCCAGGCTCCGCGGCAATTCCGGCGCCCGGTGCGCTCTGTGCTGCCATCTGGTGACGGTCTCAGGCACAGCGTGTGGCGGCGAAGAATCCCGTTTGAACTTGGCCGTCGGTGGCGGAGGCTGTGGTTTGGCGCCCTCCTGATGGACCTTATTGCCGGGCTTGTCTGTTTCTTACCCTTTATTCCTCCCCGCCCCCCTTTACTCTTGCCATTTGTCCTCCACCGAGGGTGTCCCTGAGGCCGCACATGTCCTGATGTATGTGGTCAGGTTCGGAGGGCCCAGGTCCTGCCCTGGGAAGGGAGGCAGTGCAGACGGACTCCCGCGCAAGCGGGCTGACCCCGCGGCCGACCCTGCGGAGGCACAGACCGCAGGGGCGAGGTTGAGAGGCCCCGGAGGCCTGCTGGCTGGCTGGGCTGGATTCTCAGTGGTCTCCTCTTTTCCTTGATTGTGCTTTTGTCATGGCTTCTGTTTGTTTAGAACTGGGGAGCTTCCAACACCAGTGAGAAATGGGGACCACTGGCAGGGGCCACTGGTCTGGCTTTCAGAGGTGCGATGGGCAGATCGCTGCCATCCTTAGGCTGAAGCCACTTTCCTGTTACCGAGCACAGCAGGTGTCTGCGGGCTGCCAGTGATGGTTTGGAGCCACAGTGATGGCAGCTGCGGGGATGAGGCGGCTGGGGTGGTGGACCCCAGAGGCGTTGCCTGCTTGTGGCACTGCCCACCAGAGCCCCTGGCTCAGGATGAGTGTTTCCCTCTCTGGCATAATGGGGAGGGTGGCCCATGGTCTTGATGAACCTGTTTGAGTTTACCCTAATGCTGCTGCATTCATTTAAGGAGATGAGGGGAATCTGCCGCTCACAGAGATTCACCAGAGCTTTTACTTTTGTTTATTTTTCTTTGAAGGCCTGAGAGTTGGAGCAGACCTTCAATTACCTGTCATTCAGATACCAGGGGAATGATCCAGTGTGGCAGTTACACATTCGCATGACCCTTGATAAACTATAGGAAAATTCAAATTGTAACGGGGAGAAGACCCCATTAAACCCACACCAGAGTGTGTGTGCTTGTGTGTGTGTGTGTGTGTGTGTGTGTGTGCACACTAGCAAAAGAAATCTCAACTGAACAGACCCTTTGGTTGGAGCAGCTTTTGTGCTGGCCTGTAACTGCAGGCCATGTGTTAGGAAGCCTGGGATCCCATTCTGAGTCCTGGCTCTCGCTTCCACACATCTGAGTGAGCAACCAGCTCCCACACTTCAGGGCTCGTGCCTTCCTACTTCCCCATTCCTCAACGTGTCTGCACACCCCTCTGACTGCCCGGGAGCTCTGGCGGCTCCAGGTCCCAGCACTGTCCCTCTAAGGAGACATCACCAGTGTCTCAGGACCAGTGTTTCCCCTGTGTTGGTAGGGCTGAGAGCCCTAGTGGCAGGGAAGTGTCCATGTCCCCTATGGGAAAGGATGCACTTACGGTGCCCTGTGCAGGTTGGTGACTGCACAGAGCTGTAGAAGTTCATGTCTCTGACATCCTGGGGTGGGAAATGGGCATCAGGATGTGGCTGGCCAGGGGACACATGGCAAAGCCCAGTCGTGGTTAATAATGGCAAGCAGCATGCACTCCCAGGGTTATGGTTGCTGACCTGGGAGAGTGAGGTGAGTGATAGTTTAAAGACAGGCATTGCCTTAATTTGAATTGTGACCATACTGTATCCTGTTTGCAATGTAAGGAAAATTGTAAGAATTAATGCATAGGCTGTGACTTGGAGCTATCCCGATATCACCATCACGCTGGAGATGGGGGGTGAGGAGGAAGCCATGGAGGCAGAAGCCGGGTGTGTCTGTCACTCACAGAGACACAGCCCACAGCTGTCGCCCATTGCAGCTCCTGGGGACAAGGACACTTCCGCACCATGGGGCTTCCAACCCTGGCCACACAAGGGAATTCCTGGTCCTGAGACACACTGGTGATGTCTCCTTAGAGTAACCAGACCCAGGCTGTGGTGGTGGGGGGACCTGCCTCTGTCACAGGACAGTTCTAAGCCGCAGAGAGGTTGAGGGGCCCAGATCATAGGATCCGGAGTAAACAAGGTCAGCCCATGAGGGTGGCAACCATGGAACAGACACCAGACAAACAAAAGAAAGAGGAAACAGATTTCTCAGGCCACCCCACCCACCTGCAGTAATCTTGACCCACAACCAGCGACTGAAGCAAGGTCAGCAAGCAGCAGTCTTGCTGGCATCCTCGTGGCAGCGCTGACTACTCTCCCTGGGTGTTTCGAGTAATCAAACCTTCAGAGTGAGGCCTGAGGCAGAGACAGCAGTGGAAGCCCAGGCCTCTCCACGCCCCTGAGGGTCAGGGGGGAGCTGGGACCCATGAGCTGGGGGGGAGAAGTCTTAGGGTCCTGGAGGTCAGGATCATGGCCTGGAGTGGCATCAGGGCTAAGTAGCAACAGGCCATGGGCAGGTGTTGGGAGAACACAGAGGGTGATGAGTGTTATCCTGCACCAGCCCTGGGCTGGGCTTTGTGTGGGGCTGGGTGTAGGCTCTAGCCTCCAAGGTATGTGTGCACATGCGGGCCCACGCCTGCACACACACAGACACACAGACACACACACACACCTCACATGCCCTCACTGAGTGTATGTGCACACACTCACCCTACTCACATGCACGTAGCTCCATGTTTCTGGACCAGATGGTAAGATCTGCCTTGCTCACAATATTTAAGTGTGCAGAAGACTTGAGAATCTCAGGGCCACTGTCAGGGCCAAGGTAGGATTTCCACATCAAAGAGGGGTCTCCAGCAGTGATGGAGAACTTTTTAGAGACAAGTACTCAAACTGCAATTCAAAACCCATGTGTTTATTGTAAAGTACCAACACTGCAATTAAACACAAATACTGAGATTTTAGTTTAGAAAAACAACTACATTAACATCTTTTGTCTTAAAAGAAAAACAATATGCATACTGGAGGTTCATCACCAGTGGTCTAGGCCATCCCAAGGGGGTAGAGCCGATCTGGTGCCCTCTCTCGCTGCCCCTACAACAGTGGAGCATGGCTGCAGCACTGCCTGACCCCACTGGAGTGTGACTGTGTGCACTCATGACTCTCGTCTGAATCCCACCTCTGCCATTGAGCAGCCATGTCAAGTTGGACCAGTCAGCTGCCCACTCTGAGCTGTAGTTCTCTTATTTGTAAAATGATAGAATATACCTGCCAGCTGTGGTACACATCCCTGTAATCTGAGCGCTAGGGAGGCTGAGGCAGGAAGGAGAATTCAAGACCTGCTTGAACTGCATAGCTAGACCTGGTCTCAGAAAACAAAAACAAAAAGAGTGATAGCATTTAGGTCATGGAATCTGAGCAAGCACGGAAGGCACAGGACCTGGCACATGGCAAGCCCCGAGCGAGCACATTGCTGGTGACGTTCTGTGACAGTCTTTGGATCATGTGCATCAGCTCTGCATGCAGATAGGTGTACGCGCCACATTTGGATCTTATTTCTCTGGGACACTTAGCAGCTGACCCTTAGGAACAAAACCAAAGATTCAAATACTCACTGTACTCTCATTAGCATAAGTGCTAATGCAATGCAGCTGTCCCAGGGCTATAAAACACTGGCGACAGTGTCTCTCCTCAGCATGGGGAGTATTATTTTTTCTTCTCATAGAGCCAATTCAATATTCAACTTTAGAAGGCTGCATTTTAATGCAATCGCTGTTAAGGGCTGTTGGCTGGCCATGAGGAAATATTCTTGTTCCTGTGATGCAGCCCTGGCCAGGGAGCCCAATGGGCAATACATGATCACATTAATGTTATCTTTCTGGAGTGTGCACTAAGAAAGACCACAGGACAGAGCTGGAGGACTTGTGTCCCTTGCTGCTGGGCTATCTGGGCACAGCTGGTGTTTAAAGAAGGGACATTTACATCTTTTCATCTCTAAAAGTCCCCTGATCTCAGTGAGGCCTGTCTTTCTGGGTGGGTATTTCTGCTCCAGGCAGGGGCAGCTTCTATTTGTGACCACACTTCCCAGCCAGGATGAAGGCAAGACAAGAGGCAGAGGACTCGGCATGGGTCAGGGTTCTGGAGACTGTGATGCTGATTTCCCATAATTCCTGTCTTTTTTTTGCCTAGAACAAGGAAGTGACGTGCCAGCGGGAGAAGTGCCCCGTGCTGCCGCGGGACTGTGCTCTGGCCATCAAGCAGAGGGGTGCCTGCTGTGAGCGCTGCAAAGGTAGGTACTGTCCTGGCCGTGGCCTTGGCCTCCTGCTGTGCTAACCTTTGTTTTCACTCTTTTCCTGACTGAGCAGTGATGCCTCTGTGTGTGTGTGTATGTGTGTGTGTGTGTGTGCGCGTGCACACCCATGCAGAGGTGTGTATTGGGGGGTTGGTGGGCAGGGAGAAAGGTAGGGTGAGCACCTTTGTATTTGGTTTATTTTCAAGGGTGAGTCATTAAATGTCCCAGAGTATATCTGAACTTGGATCCTGTGCACAGTGGTTCACATACACTACATGCATGAGCATTTTGGTCAATACCCTTCAACACTTGGATTTCCCAGACTCCAAACCCACCCTCCCCTCCTCTGCCAAGAGAATCTTTAAATCCAAATGTTGCCATTTTCATTTTCATTAAATATTTCCTTTCTTTTTGAATTAAATCTACATTCCTCTGCTTGTCTTTGAAGCAACTCTAAACTCTTCTTTCCTCATCCTGGTTGCTTTGTCCAACTCTCAAGGGTCCTATCTTGTTGTCTGTCTTTCCTTCAGCCAAGGGAGTCATCTTATAAACAGTGTTTCTCAAAACTGGCTATAGACCCAGCTGTGAAGTGCAGATTCCTGGCCTTGCCCATTGCTGGCCGTAGTCATGGATGCCATCATCCTTCTAGTCAGAATGGTAGCAGCTGTGGTCAGCATTTCCAAGGGTGCTTCCTGGCATCTAGGCTCTGCATGCTTATACTGCAGTGTGGAGGAACCAGTGGCAAGCTCTGTTTAATGCACTGAGAGGCTTAGTGACTTGCCCAGAGTCACAGAGCCTGTAAGTGACAGAGAGGGGACAGACCTAGGAGGCCTCGTTCCTTGGCTTCATATTTTCAAGTCTTCTCTGAGTCCCTCATGCAGCCAGAGGCTGGAGGTGCCCTGTGCCAAGATAAAGGAAGGAGAGGAAGAGCGAGGCTGGATTTTCTGATGAGGAGTGAGAAGCTCACCTTGAGAGGCTGGTGGGAGGAGTCTGTCTCCATCAGTGTCTTTGGGGTGAGCACCCTCTTCACTCTTTGTTGCCGGGAAGGTGCAGTTTTCTTTGACCCTTTGCTCTCTTCCTATTTGAAAGTTTCACATCATTAGTTAATGGCATATGAAATATTGCCAGGTAGCCTGTTATGACCAAGAAAACCTATACTGGATGCTGACTGCGGCCAGAGGCTTAGCATGTCTGTCTCGGTTATGAAGCTAAGTGGGGTGGGAGGCCTTGATCCTGACAGTTGGCTGCCCCCTCTCATGATTTTTTGGGACTTTCTTTGTTTTGTCTTTTCTGATTTCTTTCCCTTCCTTAACTTAATTATGTTTAATTTTGACGTTACCTAGATAACTATCGTGTTCATGCATTATCATGCTAAGTCATTTAAACAAGGAGGAGAAACCTATGCTGCTCACAAATAACTATTATCATTTTACTGTACTTTTCTCAGATCTTATGCAGTTTATTAGATGTATATGTAGTTTTGTAGGTTTTTTATTTGCATAAATGGAACAGCACATATTAGTTCACAGTTTACTTTAAAATAGAACCTAACAAATATGATGTAGAGCTGTTTCCCAGGCAAGTTCGTGCTTTATCGCTGCTGCTTGAATCCTGCAGCACCCATGAACAGCGATTCATTTAGAAGCTCCCTGCTGCTGGATGGTGCATCTTAATGTTTGCCGAGCACCCAGGAGCCAGCCTGATTTTCCTGCTGTGCCCACGTCTGTGTCTCATGAAGACCGAGACATGGGAATTGCAGGGTGGCGGGGGGTGAAGCATGGTAGACATGGGTGGATGGGCTTCCAAAGAACCTTCCCTCCCTTCCCTCGAGAACTTTCAGACTTTCCTCCTAAAGCCAAGAGAGCTGAGGTGGGCAGGCGGGGAGACCTGTGGCAAAGCCTACACACAGGGCTTGGGTTAGCCTTATAAACCCACCACCCCATGCAGCCACATTCTCCACCCAGCAACAATAACCTCACTTGAGGCTGTGTCACACTCGGACTTGTGCCATGTGCTTCTGTTTCCCCTGTGTCATGAGGATGGTCTCCTCCTTGGCTTGGGGAGGAATGTGTCAAATGTCCACAGTGGTCTTGCTGAGGGTGGCCAGTGCTTTTATGTTTTCTGATGAGACAGGCACCTTGTCCACTGAGCTATCTCACTGGCCCATCTCAGAATGATTTTTTAAATGGGAAATACTTTTACTGTAAGTCTTGTCACCAGTGGACCTTGTGTCTGATGCCTTCAGAGGCCTTGGAGATGAATGGGCCTTCCTGTTTCTACACCAGCACCCGATGTAGAAAATCTCTGAGAGGGAAGGCCTGGGGCCACCCCATTCTCCATGATCATCTCTTACACTGGGGCCATCTACAGTTCCCTGGAGGGTTCTGTCTCCATGTTTCTGTTTCATTCTGTGTGCTGTCTCTGTGTAGGCCACTTCTGAAAGTGAAGCATGAAGCTAACTTCATTCTTTAGAATAAACACAGAGGTTGCTGTGTCTTGTGTGCCAGTCCCTGCGACTCTGTTCTTTGGATGGGCCTTTTAGTCTTTCTTCCCCTGAGGCCAGGCCACTGGTTAAGCATGCAGCTCCTTGGGTCACCTGCTGGTATGAGAAGTGTCCCTTGTTTGGATCTCCCAGTATCTCTCAGGACCATGAAGGCCTGGTCCATCTGACTTTCCATGTAGTGTGACTGTGTGTGTGTGTGTGTGTGTGTGTGTGTGTGTGTGTGTGTGTGTTTTAGTGGTCTTTGAACCAGGTCTTCACATGTGGTAGGCAACTACTGTGTCACTGAGTTTCACGTCCAGGTTTCTTTTTTCTTTTTCTTTCTTTCTTTTCTTTTTTGAAGTTGTTAGACTGGAACTTCCTGATAGATAAGTTGTTCAACCTGGGTCTTAAATTATGCTCCTCTTGCCTCAGTCTCCCAAATGGGTGGGATTATAGTTGGTGTGTACCGCCATACCTAGATCCTTCTGCTCATTTATTGAAGTGTGGAAGGCACTTGCATTTTCCCACTGTTGGATAACGGTTTTATCATTTACTCTGCACAGCAGAGGTAATTTTTTTCTTATTTTATGTATGAGGACCCTGCAGGCTTAGAGAAGTTAAATCAAGGTGCCAAGGTTGAGAACCAGATGTCCAGGTGTCCTTGTCTTTGACGAGTTTGCTCTTTTAAGAGACAGATGCATCTTGGGGACATCATCCAAGGAGAAGAAGGAGGCTAGTGGCTGACCAGGATGGGACCTGCGCCTGGGGTGGCTTTTGGAAGCTGTGACATTTCTGTGAATGGGTAGGTCTTGTCCCATCTGCAGAGGGCTAGTGCAGGTGGCTCCAGGGCAAACATGGTACCCACAGGTTCTGAGGTGTCACTGGAACCCTGAGCACCTTGGGACCTTGTCAGAGTGCCACTTCCTAGGGTTCTTCCAGATCTGCTGAATTCAAACAATTTGTGATAAGTGTTTGTTTATTGCTTGCTTGTGGACAGGTAAGGGGAATGACAAAGTAAAGCATTTCTATCCTAATTTCTAATTTTCCCTTGGAAAAGACATTGATATTGAAGAGAAGGTGGGAGAATAGGTCAGGCTGAGGATAGAATATGGCAAATCTTATTTCCAGAAGTGCTCTTAGGAAGTTGTGGGCGTGTTCATGTTTGTTTTACTCAGATTTCTCATATGTTCCATTTCTTCATGCATTGAACAGTATTTACTGATCCCTGGGCCAGGTACTCATAGAAAGATGTGGCTAAGCAAATTGTCCTTAACTTTTATGGAGCTGGAATATTCTGTAAGATAAAAATGTAAATAGAGGATAATTAATTCCTCGCCAGCAAGTATTTCCAGGTACTTTTGAGATTATTTTTATGCTAATAATGGTTATATTTTTATCCAAATAGCTGAATAGCTGGGCAAAAGATTAATCTAATTTAAAAAAACCCTCAGTATTGTTTGGTGAAAATAAATGAGCTCATTGGGAGGCAAACGAGTGCTTGGGCAGCTTTTCTGCATTTACTTGGACTGAAAATCACCCTTTCATTTGGGGTTTGTTTGTGAACAATAGTGTATTTGTTATCTGAAATGTATGCTTGTTCCTAGTGGGTCATAAATGTGTAAGGTGTATTTCAAACTTTATAGGTCATATCCCACCATCTTTCTTCATGCAGAGCTCAAAATAGTAAATGTCCACAACACTTTGATGAAAGATGGAAACAAACGCTCATTTGTCAAATGAGGTTTATTTTCCATAATCTTCTCTTGTCTTTGATCCCTCTGTTCTGGGCCTATTACTTTATGGGCTGCGATCCTCTGGTCTGCATTTCCTGAAGTTTTAATGTTCACATTTGATGGGGGAAATGTACTGGATATCTTTTGAAAGAAAAAGAAAGAGGCACATTGTCAGTGTTCACACGGATTTCTAGAACCTGGCCAGCCATCCTGGGTTCTGGTGAGAACTAGAAAGCCATGTGCACAGGGAGCTGGAGGGAGCAGGGCTCATGTCTGCAGAGCAATCACTGTCCACAGTGAAAGCCAATGGAGCGATGGCAGGAGGGAGCGGGATTCATGCTCAGTTGCTGTTTGGGCAGCTCCAGGTGGTTGGTGAGGGGGCGTTTCTGAGTGTTGCTTAGAGAATGACCTGGAGGGCACCAGCCTCTTGGCTATTTTGGGGGGAGCCAGCCACTCACTGTACTAGGAACAGGCATTAAAACACCTTGTACAGGAATAACTACACCCTGTGCTGACAAAGTAAACTGCCCTATTGCTCACACCTTTCGAGATGAGCAGGCTGATTTAGCCACGTGCCAACTTCTTTTGACGTCACAGCCTTGTCTGCTGCCTAAACAAGAGTGGGTTTTCCTGCATCTGTTTTCTTCCTCTTAGACATCACCAGACTCCTTGGTAGTTATGTCTGATCAGCCTCTACTGAGTGTGCCCAGGTCTTATCTCTCAGGTAGGGAAGGGCCTGCTCTCAGAGGTCTGTCTGGCTATTCTGGAGGAAGAGACAACCT